TTTGCCTTCCCAGTCTCACCTCCTCCATCTTTTTGTCCCAGTCCTAGTCTCACTCTCTGGGCTCGCTCTCTGAGTCCCAGTCTCCCCCCTTTCTCTCCACACTTAGTTCCAGTCTCTCCCCTCCCTGTCTCTTGTTGAGGCACACTCAGTTCATGCCGTGCGCCTCTGCTTCTTGTCAGATCTGCCTCCTCTCCATCCACCTGCCCCCATTTCCTACCACTGGTTCTAGTCCCAGTCTCATTGTCCATCCAGCCCCAGTCCCCCCACTTCCTTGTCTGATTTTAGGGCTCTCCCAGGCTCTTTCCTTCCCCTCACCCTACTGTGTACCACACCGGCTCTCAGTGTCACCCTACCTGTCCAGTCAGTTCCAGTCTCTACTCCCCCTGCTCCCAGTCTCCATGCCCAATTTGTGTCGTCGTCCCCCTGTGCCAATTTCACCAGACACTTTGTCCTAATCTACTCCTTTTCCTCCTCCCAATTCAGCTTTTGTCCCCTGTGCATTTGAATCAAACAGCTTCTATCTTGTTTCTGCCTAAATGCCCTCTGGGAGATCATTGAGAACACTGAAGAGACAGGCTCCTGCTCTCAGTTCTAATGTCTGGTGGTCCCACCACAACCTGGAGCAGCTGGTAAATGTCATTATGGGGGAAAATTTGGCTTTGTGCCTATATCCCTGGGCTCGAGCATGCTCTGTGGTAATGGTGCACGTGTAGTTGAGGAGCTGAAGCATGCTCAGTTGCTCTGTGCCGCTGGAGGATGTGCAATCTCAAGCATGGTCAGTAAGGACAGAATCTTCAGAGATTTTTGGCTACTAAAATCAAAGAAGCCTCCACTGAGTGTGTGAACTGTGATTCTTCCCTCCCCTCCCCAAAGTTTATAGTTTGGCCTAATTTGGGAAAATTTTAATGGGAATGTTAAAAGGCATATTCCTGACACACAGGCCAGCCAGACCTCCTCCCCTTTTCATAGATTCATAGATATTTAGGTCAGAAGGGACCATTATGATCATCTAGTCTGACTTCCTGCACAACGCAGGCCACAGAATTTCACCCACCACTCCTGCGAAAAACCTCTCACCTATAGTTGGCCCATGGGATTGTGGGATACTTTTGGCAGATTCCCAGAACACAGATCTAGTGAGGCTGCATCTACAATGCAAAGTAATAGGGCTTGAACCCTGGGTCCCAGCTTGACTCAAGCTCAGACTCTCCACCCCCACAGAGTCCTGGGACCCTGGGTCTGAGTCCTGCGTTAGTGCAATTTGTGTGTATAGGGAAGGGTGGGGATAGGCTTGAGCCAGAGTTCAAACCCTGGGCTTACATTGCAATGTAGGCATACCCTGGGTGACCAAAAAGACATCTAAAAGACGCCTCTTTTCCGCTCCCTCCTTTTGTTATGGGAGGGAAAGAATAGCACAGAGATGGGTTTGGGATTAGTAAGGTTTTTCATGTTTGCTTTTTAATGTCTTTCAGACCTGTTTTTGATGGAGTTTTGTATTTTAACATCTCTGCTTCTCCCAGAGAATGTTAATAGACCCAGTTATTTGTGTCCAGTTATTCCTAAAGAACAATTTTCCAAATCCCCCACCAGGAGCTGCTCCTTTAAATTTAGACAACAAGTCCCTGTTGCGTTGAAAAGGGGTGTATTGGGCCAAACAAGAGATAAGACATTAATAAAGCCTGGCTACAAGGAACAGCTAAGTGTAGTTCAGGGTTTTATGTCAAATGGTCACTGGCTTATTCCCATTGTACCAACCACCATTAAAATTTCGTGTCCCTGCTCCAAAGCATGGGGGCACCAGAACTTTTCAAAGAATTCTTTAACATGGGCATAACATAAGAATTGCTATACAGTGTCAGACATTTTTCCCTAGCCTCGTTCTCAGAAACTGTTTTGCCCTGAAATTTTCTAAAAAGAAGTTCAGCTGGAAACAGACACCCGGCATGGAAAATTGGATCCCAAATGGTTAAAACTTGGCAAAGATATAGGCAATTGAAAACAGGGTCTTATAATGGGAAATGTCTTGGGGCTTCAGCTCTGTGTGAGGCACCTGCCGGGGTTTGGGGCTTCAGCCCTGTGGGGAGGGAGGTCTTGGGGCTTCAGCAATGCTCCTTCTGAAGCCCTGAGTCCTGGCAGGTATATCCTGTGGGGTTGAAGCCCCAAGACCCCCCTCCCTGCTGGGGAGAAGAAGCTCCTAGCCCTACCACCCAAATCCAGGGCAGAAGCCCTGAGTATCCTCCCTCTCGCCCCCAGTCTGGTAGGCAGAGAATGGCGGGGGGAGAAGGGGGAGCGTGGAGAGCTCCACGAGCCACACTTTAACTGTAAAAGAGCCACATGCGTTTTGCGAGCTGTGGTTTGGTCACCACTGTTCTAGAGGATGAAATGTTGCATTGCTAGTGAGGTGATAGGTGCTTATGGGAATCTAGCACCACCATCTGTAAGCAAAGCTAACTCCAGAAGGATTTCTTAGATACTCTGATGAGCCTCTCTCTCACCCTAATAGAGGAAAATCTAGTTGACAACATTGACTGCTAAAGTGACAAACTATTGTAAAAATTATTTTGCTATCTGGAATATGCATCTGGCACTTTGGGACTCTGAGGCAGAGTGAGAAAAATTATTTGTTTTACAATGTAATATTGATTTGCCTAACACTTTACTGTGATAGGTTTAGGGCATGTCTGTTTGGAGCAGTGGCCTTCACTCTTCACAGATTATGAGCTTGAACACCTGCTGTGGAACGAACAGCTAGCATAGTGAGGTTTGAATTGAGCCATTTCTGCTTTTAGGGCACTTTCTTGTTAGTAGTAGTGGTAGAGTCAGGCCCTTCAAGAGAAATTTGGAGCCCTAGTACAGAATGTTCACTGGGGCCTCACTCCCTGCAATTTCACTTTATTTACACAGACATTAGACATTTTGGGGGGAGCCCTGGACTTGGGGCCTTGATACAGTTGTCTTCCTTTTCCCCACTTCTTGTCAGCCCTGGGTAGAGCTGTATTTCCAGGCAAGAGGGAAGGAGCATGACTATGTCATTAAGGAGACAATTCCATATTCATAGAATCATAGAATATCAGGGTTGGAAGGGACCTAATCATTTTTGTTGCCCTCCGCTGGACTCTTTCCAATTTTTCTAATGCATCCTTGTTGAATCATCAAAGTGTCAAACAAGTCAGCTCGGATAGAGGAGTTGGTCCCATCTGTGGTTTAATTTTCCTGCTAATCGTGTGCTTCTCTTTAGTAATGGGTGAGATCCAAAGAGGTGAAGGATGTTTCTAGATCATAGAGATACAGGGTGTTGCAGATGCTTTCCAGGCACAATCCAGGGGCCACTTCCAGCCTTACTTTAGTTTATGGAGTCTCCTCACATGTCTTGTCCACAACTGTTATGCCTGAGGGCATTCTGTGCCAAAAAATAAAAAATTCTGCACACAATATTTTAAAATTCTGCAAGCTTTATTTGTCGATAAATAAATGCAGAGGCTTCAGCATGGTGGTGAGGAGCATAGGCCACTGGCTGTACAAAGGTGGGAGATTACTCTGCAGCCTCCCCATCCCCTACCCCCAGGACAAGTACTCAGTGGTGAGGCTGCACCCAACCCTGACACAGCACAAGGCCTGAGTATACCACAGAAACACCCTGTGGCCCTGCCCCTTTGTGCTAGGTGCACCTGTGGGGCAGGCAGGCTCAACCAGGCAGGATCCAAGTGTGGAGGGGCTCAGTGTGGGGTGAGAAGATTCTGTGTGAGACAATCTGGGTGCAGGCAGCTCAGTGGGGGGTCTAGATGTGGGGGGATCTGGATGCACAGAGGCTCATTGGGGGGGTTCCAGGTGCAGGGGCAATGGGACTCTGCCGGGGCTTTCAGGTGAAAGTGGTGGGGGCTCAGCGGAGGGGTCTGAGTGTTTGGGGCTCAGCGGGGGGTCTGGATCCTGGGGGGAGTGGGGCTTCGTGGGGTGGAGGTCTGGGTGCAGCTAGTTGGGGGTCTGGATGTGGGGGCTCAGGGGGGTTGGGCGTGTCAGGGTGGGGGTTTGAGTGCAGGGAGCTCAGTGTGGGGGTGGTTTGGGTGCAGGGGTGGGGGTCTGGAGGTAGGGGGTCTGGGTGCAGGAGGGCTCCAGGTGCAGGGGTTGAGGTTCAGTGGGATGGGGTTCAGGTATGGAGGGCTAGTGGGGTTCTGGGTATATGGGGTGAGGCTTGACAGGGGTGTCTGGGTATGGGAGGTCCAGATACATGGGGATTGGGTGGATGGGGGAGCAGCTCCCCATCCAGTGACCCCTCCCCCCCCCCCCCCCCGCAGCTGAGGAGCGATGGGGGCAGGAAGCCTGGAAGAATGCTGAGCTTCCTGCAGCTGGGGGAGGATTCTCGGGGGAGGGGGGTCTGACACAGCCCCATCCACTCCTTTGCAGGGGAAGAAGAAATCCTGTCCTCTCCTGCTTTCAGCACAGCCAGGGCTAGCAGGTGGTCTCGACTCAGGGTAGGAGCCAAAGGATGGGGTGTTCCCAGCCTTGCGGTGATTTACCTCTCCGCCGGCTGCTCCAGGTGCTTGAAACGATGAACCTGCACAGCTAGGTAGTGGTGCATGACTGCTCTTGCAGCTTCCCTTTGTTTCCCTGTCAGAAAGTCATTTTTCTGTGGGGAAGCAAAGAAATCTGCAGGGGACATGAATTCTGTGCACGTGTAGTGGCGCAGAATTCCCCCAGGAGTAAGCAGCTGTTTGGATGACTGCAACCCATGAGGGATGAGGGGAATTTGGGAAAGCAGAAGGAGAGGGGGGTGAGGTGTGGAAATTACACTTGGCTGGTCATTGGAGGTGTTGGAGAAGGAAAGCAACAGGCAATCTATTGGATTTCAGTCTTCGTGCCAGCAGCTAACCATCTACTTTTGATGTCCTTTAGAGGAACATGAAGTGCAATGGGAGCAGAAACTGCTTGAACAGGAGGAGTCGATTTGGCTCCCGTGAGAGAGACTGGCTGAAAGAGGATGTTGGGCGAGGCTGTGTGTACATTTATGGAGCAGACTGTGCAACTGCGACCTCTTCTGACCTGCACTTGGTCCTTTGTACAGTGGATACCCTGGCATCTGAGATCTGTGATGGAGAGGGTAGGGAGAACCTCTATTTGCAGCTCCATGGAGACCTGGTCAGGTAAGGACAGAAGGAAAGGGTAAATCCAATTCCAGAAGTGGATGGAGGGCAGTGCTTTCTTGCTGTGGGCAAATGAATGTGAATGAAACTAGGGCTAATTTAAAGTAGGTAGGTATAGCCTTATGATTCATTTTGGGTGCAAGATGCACTTGTCACTAATAACGGGTCTGTTCTTTGGTGGCTATTTAGAGATTAATTAAGATGATGACTGGTGAGACATACATAGAGACTGAGTTTTATTTGTACGATGTTTATTATAAACAAAATCACAGAACTAGGAAACAAGATAAGACTAATAGCTGAATTCGCATCATGTATACTCAGGAATCAGTGGGGCTGTGGATTCCCCTTAAAATGAGATTAAGTGTTATTAGGTCTAATGTGGCTTTATGCTAACTATTACCACTAGTCCTCAAGCTGAATACTAGGCTTCAGACTCACTGCAAAGCCCATTTTAAAATAATCTTTGTTGTTTTTTTTATCCTACTTGCATCGTAGCTTTAGTTTAATTTGCACTAATTAAACAAGCATCTTAACTTTTTCTAAAATAAGTGATTATTTACGTGATCACCTAAGCTCAGGTTATGGGTCAACAAAGGGGTTCTGTATGACAGATGGATCCAGTTCTGAGCATATAATACTATAATTTATGGATTGAAGCTGTTATGCTCAGATAGGAAACACTCATTGGTGTTTTGGCTGGGAGGGTTTGACTGGTAATTCCCCTAGAAGCACCTCCTTTTTGAAGAGTGTTTCGTTTGAGTGAGTTAACTTCTGGGAATTTCTAGTTGGACATGGAATATGCCCTGGGGTGAGAGATGTCCCTGTTTATATAATGCTGCATCTTTTTCCATATAAAGGGCTAAATTTTACTCCCAGTATATACTATCTTAACATCTTTATTCATCTTTATAAAACTGGCATCCTAAATGATAGCATATTTGTTAGGCAAATTATTCAAATGTATTCACCAAAAAAAGGCCACAGACGAAAAGGGCCAGAGTTAAGGTCATAGAAATGTCTAATGTGCATGTTCACAAGTGTAAATTTTCTTGAGAATGTATAATCTCTAAGTTACCTTTAGTGATCATTTCTTGACATCTATATTTTGTTAACTGAAATGATCTTGGTATGTACTTCTGTGATGGTCATGATTTAGTAACTGTATAAATTAATGCTTTTTCAGTGGGGATATCCTTTGTTTAAAAAAAAAAATGGCAAAGTATGCTAAGAGTATAAATAGACTTAAGCTATAAAGTTTTATGTGCAGAAAACTTGGACTTCAGTGTATAAAGTGTTGTGCCTTAGGTCATTATGCACTGAAAATAGACTTCAGCTCATAAAGTTTAATGTGCACAAACTTTGTGCTGAGAAGATCATGAATTCCTCATAGCTTTACAAGCCATAGAGTTCTTTTGAATTTAGACTTTGTATTACCTCCAGTGGATTTTGGATTTCAGCGTGTAAACCTGCCGCTCCTTTTCACGGACAAAGTTAAAACGGGAGTCTCTAATCCACACTTTTCCCAGTGGACCTAATCCATGTTGTTCTTCTAAAATGCACGGGGAAAGGCATGGCACTTTGGAGCACTTCTCCAGTTCCTGGTAAAAGTTCCACTGCTGGGGCCCTAGACTTCGGTGTGTTTGGGAAAGTCATTGACAGATGGGAGGAAAGACTGGGTGTCCTTTGCATCACTAAGTATTTTTGATAAAGTATTATTTGCATAAATTATACACTGAAGTTTTTTCTTCACAATAAGTTATAGGTGTGTAAAACTATGTGTACTGAATTACTTATTGTATAATGACTTCATGAGCTGAAGGATGCCTGATCCTTCCAATTGCCTCAGTACAAAAGTAAATCTATGTTCCTTATAGCTCCTTCCCCACCTCTCAGCATGGATTAACGCTCAAGGTAGCATAGCTCAGCATAGGTTGGGTCTACTGAACATCTGAGTTCCTGAGCTCCCTAGATAAAACCATATCTGGGATAAGTGTGGGAGCATGAAGGAGAGGAGAGAACTGTGTCATGACAGCTGATAAATTTGCACATAAAATTTTTGCAGGGACCAAACTGCACAAATTCACTGCAATAGAAACTTTTCCTGCACAAATTGCTCTCTTGGAATGCTTAAAAGACTGGGGTCTTGATATTTTAAAAGTTTAATAGAAAGTTTTCCTGCTGTAGTGTTGGATTCCCTCTGAAACCTTTTCCACTCAGCTTATCCAGAATACCTTGTTCACTTCTAGGAGAACACTTTATCCAGTTTTCTGGGATCCAAAAAACTCAGTTGGACTCCAGATTTAGTCACTCAGGTTCCTTTATTTGTCATGCAGCAAAGCTATGCTGATCAGACTCAAGTGTAGGGGAGAGTATAGTATGTACCATACATCCAGAGTTACACAGAAAAACTCTTCCTTTATATACATTTACACTTTACATTGCATCACATGTTTTTGAATTAGCTTGGTTACTTTGCAGGAACCAGTCCCTGTGCAACATGCTCTGTCTATGCATTATCCTCACTTGACCTAGTCTTTACCTCATCTCTACATTCCAAACTATTTTGTCCATTGTTAATAAATGGGTCCCTGGGTGTTCTCCATCTTATCTGAGCTGGCTCAAACATTCTGTCTTTTTCAACCTCCTGAGGTCCCTTCCAACCCTGATATTCTGTGATCCGTTTACCTCCCTAATTCTGTTGTCCAAGAAATGAGGCCTCCCTCCAGATGTTAATTGCTCATGTCAGGCTAGGTCTCCACTACATGTTGTCTGCTTCCAAATCTTGTTGTAGTTTTGGCATAGAAAGTTTTGCACACTGGAATTCATGATGGAAAACCAAGTATTGATGATGAAAGCTAGTCACTTATTTATGAGATTTGACATGCATATATACTAGTGTGCAATACAGTTTAAGTAAGGCTCTGGCTATGAAATCTTGAAAATGGAGTTTTGTAAAGTTTGATCAGTTTCTTCAGATTTTCAGAAACAATTCTATTATATGAAAATGGCAGTTTTTCAAGCCAAAACATTCTCTTTAAAAGTTGAAAATTTGTAAAAAAAGAGGATTTATAATAAAAATCGGGCTTCCTCTTCAATACTGTAAGCAAGTGCGGTTTCAGTGAATTCAGTGATGTTACACTCACTTTTGCAAGCCCTGGATTTGGCTCCCAGATTTTTCTGCTGTTGTGCATTGGGTGCTGAGAATACAGAACATGCAGCATAGCTTGAATTCAGCATATTGGTACAGGAAAAGGAAGACTGTTCTGTATTGCATCGTAACAGTGAGGCGAGTAAGACTAGATTTGTAGTGGAGCTCTCCCTTCACTTGGCTATGTGTCTGAGTTGCAGGAACCAGGCATAGGTCAGTTACAGTAAGGGTATACATAGCTGTTGGCATGGAGTCATGGATGTAGCTGATAAATTGTTTATTAGGTGAAATGTTTATAGGAAAATTGCCTTTAGTGGCTCATTGCTTAGTTCTGTAGTGATCTTCCAGCACTTAGAGCACAGACCCTTTACTCCAGAGCCCTGATAAGGTTAGGATTTGAAGACGCATTGTTGGAGCAGTTGTAAGAGATTGTGTTTTAATTCCCCTTTTGAACTTTTGTTTCAGCCTCTCTTTTCTTGTTGTTTTGCAGCATTACTTCACTTTGATTTGTGGCAAGTTGAATAGCTAAGTTAATTGGTCTCTGTGAATAATACTTTGAAACCCAGTCCTGAGCTTTAAACTGATGGCAGCAGGTCCTGCTCCCACACTTGCTACCTTCTTGCCTTTAGCAATTCAACAAGCTTGATCCTGAAATTCAGTTCTTGAACTATTGCATGTCACCTGTGCAAAATTCTGAATGTAAATGTAGCAGGAAGGTCTCATAAATAAACCTCAAAGGGGGAAGGTCTCCGTACAGCAGGGTTCTCAAACTGGGGGTTGGGACCCTTCGGGGTCGCAAGGTTATTACATGGCGGGTTGTGAGCTATCAGGTTCCACCCCAAGCCCTGCTTTGCCTCCAGCATTTATAACGGTGTTAAATATATAAAAAAGTGTTTTTAATGTATAAGGGGAGTCGCACTCAGAGGCTTACTGTGTGAAAGGGGTCACCAGTACAAAAGTCTGAGAACCCCAGCCATAGAGATACAGTAAGTATGAAATTCCCCTTAGTAGTCATTTGTTTGACATTAGGATATGGTCCATGGTCTTGGTCAGTTCTCCTGAGGAAGATGACACCAAACTCAAGGTCTCACTATACCCAAATTCTCTCAAATGCCAAGAGAATTCCATTTTAGTGCACAATCTGCTGATCAATGTGGTCACATGCATATGAACACAAATAACCCAGTCAAGCATCTGATGTCGCTTGTACCCCAGATATGTTGGACCCCAAGTAACTCTTAATTCCCCACCATTTGAATCCTTGTAGATGGATTTTTCCCACATCTCCTGGATTAAGAATACAAATACTGATCACCCTTTTGGGGTAGGAGGGGCAGGAGAAGATCCCCAGATATTTGTCCTAAACTTCCAGGAATGTCCTTTGTGGTGTTACTCCTCAGCTGAAGTAGATCCTCTGTGATCCCCATTAAGTGCATACGCATTTCAGTAAGTTCCTTTGAGCATTTACCTCTCTAAGATGTATAGGTCTAAGGTCTTCAGCCTTTCTTTCTAGCTAAGACCTTCCATTCCTTAGGTTCTCTTTGAAAGTTTTTCAAAAGTTATAGCTCACAATAAAGGATAGGTTCCGAAAACTACATGGACAAAACTCTTTTCTGTACCTGAATGAACCAGGTAATCATAGGCCAGTCTCACATTGATCTCAGGGAAGATATAATACAGCAGCTGATGTGAGTCTTCTTTAATAAGACTTAAAGAAGGGTAATTAATTAATGTCAATCAACATCGGTTCATGGAAAATAAATCCTGTCAAACAAACTTGATTTTTTTTATGAGATTACAAATTTGGTTGATAAAAATAATAGTGTTGTTGTAATATACTTAGATTTCTGTAAGGAATTTGATGTGGTACTGCATGACATTTTTATTAAAAATATAGAATGATATAAAAACTGGATAACTCATAAGTCTCAAAATGTAATTGTAAACAGCGAATCATAATTAACATTTTTAATGGTGAGGGCAATTAACCACTGGAACAATTTACCAAGGGCTGTGGTGTGTTATCAAGATTGGTGTTTTTCTTTAAAAAAAAAAACAAAACACAACCCTAGGAATTATTTTGGGGAAGTTCTGTGGCCAGTGTTATACAGGAGGTCAGACTAGATGATCACAATGTCCCTTGTGGCCTTGGAATCTATGAAGGTATAAAACCTGGCTTTTATGCATGGGCAATAACTAAAGTTACATGAGGGTCTGTGAAGCTGCTGTTCTGTGCTGGCCTCCTGTTCTCTCCTATGCTTATTTCTTACCCTGGCCTGATAGTGCTCTCTCACTGACCTAGCTGAAGTGACCAGTACTTGGTATGTGATACTGAAAACACTAGACTGGAGGGTTTGACACCACATGAAAGGAGAGGAAATGTTCTCAGTGAATTGCTGGTGTATTCTCCAACTACACTAACCCTCAGTGTGTACTGTGTGTAGAAAAGAGCATGTACAAGTACAGTCTTTTCAGTTGCATGTTTCTGATTGCCTTCAGGTTTTGTCTGTTTACAGATTGCATTGTATTCTGTTGGGGGAAGATGCATGTTTTCCTGTATTCAGTTTGAGGATGAAAGGATGTGTCGGGTAATGCACTTTCTTCACAAATACCATCTATTTAGGATCCTGGATCTTGCATTCACTATTTCTATACAGGCTGAACGCCTCAAGTGATAACATTTTTGACCCCTAAGGGCAACATTATAGGGTCAAGAGGCAAGCAGCCTTCACTTACTGTTAGTTCTGCACCACCCAGGATTCTAACCATTGCCCTTGGAACCTTCCAGTCCATTCCTCTTTGACCAGGGTCTGGTAAAGGAGTTTCTTGTAGGAGCTGTCTCTCTCCAGCAACTTACTTGCTTAAGGTATCTTTTTTTTGGTTTGCGCCCTCTCCCACTCCCCATGACTTCCAAGCCTTTTTATTTCTAGACCCTTTGGCTTCTGGTCTGTCAGTTGCCTGGGAGCACTGATTCAGTCCACAAGGTTCCAGTCTCCAAAGACATTTGAAGAACCATGTCATGGGTCTATGGATGAACAACAAACCTTTTTCCTTCAGCATTTGGTCTATTTTCAAAGCCTCGTACTGCTACAAGCTTTTAGCTCTTTGTTTTGTATTTCTTTCAGCTGTTTTCTTTGCTCTTTCAGGATGTCACCTACTGCCTTGACCCCTTGGAAGGAAGCGATACCACTTAGCAGCTTCAGACAAAAATCTGTGCTGCAGAAGAACATCTATAATGCAGAGTACAATACAAGTGTCTGAATGGGGCATGCTGTACAGGGTATCATGGGGAATGTCTAGAGATGTTACTGTAAACACTCAAGTATCATGGGGAATGCCTCCAAGTCTTCCTCAAGGCAGTCCCTTGGGAGTTGTGCAAGTCCAACGCAAGTCCAGAATGTTTCAAAGGAGAAACCCCTGCAGCGTAAGCCTGAGCCACTTCTCTTGCTGATATGATGTTCATGAGACTAGACTGGAGGGTTGACAGCACACGCAAGCGGGGGGCAGATACTCCCAATAAATTGCTTGGTTATTCCCGAGCTATACTAGCTCTCGGTCTGTACTGTACTCTGTGTAGGAAAGACCATGCACAAGTACAATCTCTTCAGCTGCACATTTCTCAATAAAAACAATGAGGAGTCCTTGTGGCACTTTAGAGACTAACACATTTATTTGGGCATAAGCTTTCGTGGGCTAAAACCCACTTCATCAGATGCATTGAGGAGGTATAAATACACAGCATATGAAAAGATGGGAGTTGCCTTACCAAGTGAGGGGTCAGTGTTAACGAGCCAATTCAATTTAAGTTGGAAGTAGGCAATTCTCAACAGTTGACGAGGAGGAGTGGAAATCACTTTTGTAGTGTGAATGAGGCCAATGTAAACAGCTTATGCCCAAATAAATGTTAGTCTCTAAAGTGCCAAAAGGACTCCTCATTGTTTTTATTGAGAAATGTGCAGCTGAAGAGATTGTACTTGTGCATGGTCTTTCCTACACAATGAGGAGTCCTTTTGGCACTTTAGAGACTAACACATTTATTTGGGCATAAGCTGTTTACATTGGCCTCATTCACACTACAAAAGTGACTTCCACTCCTCCTTGTCAACTGTTGAGAATTACCTACTTCCAACTTAAATTGAATTGGCTCGTTAGCACAGACCCCCCACTTGGTAAGGCAACTCCCATCTTTTCATATGCTGTGTATTTATACCTCCTCAATGCATCTGATGAAGTGGGTTTTAGCCCATGAAAGCTTATGCCCAAATAAATGTGTTAGTCTCTAAAGTGCCACAGGGACTCCTCGTTGTTTTTGGTGGTGCAGACTAACATGGCTACCCCACTCTGAAATATTCCCCAATGGAAGTTGCTTTCAGATTAGTCTACAGGACTCTGTCTGGGTGCCACTTTTATCAACACAGGCCCAACTTCCTGCTAGGCTCATTAAAATATTTCTGCCATGTGCTGAGTTTTTGACTCCCTCCAAGCCTTGGCACTTGCTGCAGATGGCACTGAGCTATGACTCAGCTGATGAGGCATTGCGTCCCCACTGTACTCCAAGGCACCACTGATGGAGTTAGGGGCTTCAGGTAGCTTATGTCAAGATATAGGGCATCAGTTTCCCTTTCTCAGCCACAGTCAGGAAGCGTAAGTGTTAGGGTTTGTCTGGGGACCTGGGCACGTCTCACCAGCACATCTCAAAGTCCGCCTTGAGGCGGCAGTGACACCTTGGTGCTTCCCTCTCACCCTCAGTTTGGAGTCTTTGAATCACTCGGTGTAGCCAGAGCACTTCGCAGCAATACTGACACCCTCCTTGAGTTGGCTCTTTGTGCCTCTTGCTTCATGGGTCTCAGCACATCCAATTTCTCTGCATCCCAAAGTATTGCTGATGTTCCAGGCTACCCCCTCATCTTGCTAACTCCAGGTGCTCATATGGAGGCAATGGAGCTGATTAGGACAATGAAGTGATTGAGGAGTCTGTGCAACTTCCTGATGCCAGGTACATTTCCATGGTGAAAGAGCAGCAGGATGGTGATTTTGTTTTAGAATCTGACTTGTCCAAGTTGCTAAAAAAGCTTGCAAAGTTGCCAGTCCAGGAATGTGCAGAAGCCACGATTGAGAGATGGATAGGCCAGAAGCCCAGTGCGCCTCTGTCACCAACTGAAGCAGCGTGGCAGACACCCCCCACTTCTTTCGCACCTCCGCACACACAACCACCTCTGCTGCCCTATCTTGGATGTCATAGAAAAAAAGTACTTTCTCCTTCAGGACACTCCTGTCTGTCTCCTGCCCCCAGTGTCCCATGCAAGCTTTATACTTGGGATGAGGTTGGCCTGAGGAAAGACAAATGCAATGTAATGTGCCTCAGAACCTTGAGCTTCAGTACTGGGATTGCTTTGGATGAAGCGCTTGTCATTTTGTAGCTGGAGCCCTTTGAGATCTGTTAGTCCACAACACATTTGCCCAAGAACAGGTCAAGCTTTGGAAAAAGATCTCTCTCCCGGCTGATTTTCTTCCCAAAGGTGAATGTTAGTGAGCAGAGGGCACGGTCCTGATGGAGCATCAGTTCCAGGTAGTCTCTGATGAAAATTATGCAGTGAATAATCTGTGTTATGGGTGGATATCTGTAGGTCTGTTCTAGCTCAAGGCTTCCAGATCTCGTCATCAGGTCCAAAAAAAAAAAAAAAAAGAGATGAGAACCTACCCTGCGTTGGAGAGAACCTCTTTTGGACTCGGAGACCTCTTACAGAAAGCAAAGCAGTCAAAAGCTCTGCATTCTTCTGGATCTGTCTCCTTTTGTGAGTCCCTTTCACAAGGGAGGGAAGGGGAAGCATCTGCTTTTTTTTTTTTTTTTAAATATAAAAAGCCTCTTTCACACTGACTGTACAGGGTGCTTGGTCTTAGCAGCAGCAGATGCCAGAGGATCTTAAGCTTTCATACCAAAAAAGTCAAAGGGTGTTTGAAGGATTCCTAAGCATATAATCAGCCAACACTTTATGCAGCTTTCCAGGACCATCTTGTTGGAGGCAGGGAGCCATTTTCAGCTGATGGGCCCTTGTTCATCTTGACGATGTGGGTCTTGAGCACTGCTCAGAGGGAATACAAAATATTATGGCTGTCGATTAATCGCAGTTAACTCTCACAATTAACTCAAAAAAATTAATCATGATTAATCGCAGTGTTAAACAATAGAATACCAGTTGAAATTTATTAAATATTTTTGGATGTTTTTCTACATTTTCAAATATATTGATTTCTGTTACAACACAGAATACAAAGTATACAGTGCTCATTTTATAGTATTACTTTTATTACAAATATTTGCACTATAAAAATGATAAAAGAAATAGTAGTTTTCAATACACCTCATACAAGTACTGTAGTGCAATCTCTTTATCATGAAAGTGTAATTTACAAATGTAGATTTATTTTTTATTTTTTTTGGTTACATAAATGCACTCAAAAAAACCCCCAACCCAACATAAAACTTTAGAGCAGGGGTGGGGAACCTCCGGCTCGCTGACTAATTTAATCCAGCCCATGGCAAGTCTCCGTGCCATGGGCCAGAAGCCCTGAGCCTTGTCCCCCTGCCCCCAAAAGCTCCCGGGCAGAGGGGTGATCAGGGAAGCTCTACCTGCTGCCCCAAGCGCCAGCTCCGCAGCTCTTATTGTCTGGGAACTGCGGCCAGTGGGAGCTGCGGGGGCGGTACCTGCAGGCACAGGCAGCACTCACCATGCAGAGCCCCCTGGCTGCCCCTCTGCCTTGGGGCTGGACTTGCCAGCTGCTTCTGGGAGCAGCGCGGGACCAGGGCAGTCAGGGAGCATGCCTTAGCCCCCCCTGTGCTGCCGACAAGGAGCCACCTCAGTTAAGTGCCACCTGGCCAGAGCCCTCACCCTCTCCTACACCCCAACCACACTCCCAGCCCCCACACCTCAACCCCCTCAGAATCATATAAGATTAGGGTTGGAAGAGACCTCAGGAGGTCATCTGGTCCAATTTCCTGCTCAAAGCAGGACCAACCCTAACTAAATCATCCCAGCCAGGGCTTTGTCAAGCCGGGCCTTAAAAACCTCTAAGGATGGAGATTCCACCCCCTCCCTGGGTAACCCATTCCAGTGCTTCACCACTCTCCTAGTGAAATAGTTTTTCCTAATATCCAACCTAGACCTCCCCCACTGCAACTTGAGACCATTGTTCCTTGTTCTGTCATCTGCCACCAGTGAGAAAAAGCCTAGCTCCATCCTCTTTGTAACTCCCCTTCAGGTAGTTGAATGCTGCTATCAAATCCCCCCCTCATTCTTCTCTTCTGCAGACTAAGTAAGCCCAGTTTTCTTAGTCTCTCCTCATAAGTCATGTGCCCCAGCCCTCTAATCATTTTTGTTGCCCTCCACTGGACTCTCTCCAATTTGTCCACATCCTTTTTATAGTAGGGGGGCCTCCGCACCCGCACTCCAGGCCTGAGTCCCTTCCCACACCCAAACTCCCAGAGTCCACACCCCTACCTGCACCCTAACTGCCTGCCCCAGTTCGGAACCATGTCTCTCACTCTAACTCCCCCCCATCCCTGAGCCCCCTCCTGCACCCCAAACTTCTCATCCCTGACCCCACCCCAGAGCCTGCACCTGCAGCCGGAACCTTCACCCCCTTCACCCCAACCCAGAGCCTGCTCCCACACCCTGAACCCCTCATTTCTGGCCCCACCCTGGAACCTAGGGGAAGACCCGAGCCTCCGCCCTCTCCCTTCACCCCCCATGGCGCTGGAGTCACGAGTGCTGGCTTACCCCACTGCGGGAGGAAGCCCCGAGCCTCTGCTCCTCCCCCCGCAGGGCTGTGTGTGGCCTGCAACTGATTTTTTTCTGTGGGTCAGTGGCCCTTGATAGAAAAAAGGTTCCCCCCGTCTGCTTCAGAGCCTACAAGTCCACTCAGTCCCACTTCTTACTCAGCCAATCGCTGAGTTTGTTTATATTTATGGGAGATACTGCTGCCTGCTACTTATTTATTATGTCACCTGAAAGTGAGAACAGGTGTTCACATGGCACTTTTGTAGCCAGTGTTGCAAGGTATTTACATGCCAGATATGCTAAACATTTGTATGCCCCTTCATGTTTCGGCCACCATTCCAGAGGACATGCTTCCATGCTGATGATGCTCGTTAAAAAAATAATGCTTTAATTAAATTTGTGACTGAACTCCTTGGGGGAGAATTGTATGTCTCCTGTTCTGTTTTACCCGCATTCTGCCATATATTTCATGTTACAGTCTCGGATGATGACTCAGCACATGTTGTTCATTTTAAGAACACTTTCACAGCAGATTTGACAAAATGCAAAGAAGGTACCAATGCGAGATTTCTAAAAATAGCTACAGCGCTCGACCCAAGGTTTAAGAATCTGAAGTGCCGTCCAAAATCTGAGAGGGACAAAGCGC